AAGTTGCTCTTCAATGGACACTTTGCTGTGAGCGTGGTCACCTGGGGACAGGAAGTGTGTTACTGGAAGGATCGCCAGGTGAAAATGTAAGGGAAAAAAGCTAGAAAAAAAGAAAAGGAATGAATCTGTTACATGTGAGGACTGTTACTCTACAACCTATGACATGTGTGAGGACTGTTACTCTACAACCTATGACATGTGTGAGGACTGCTACTCTACAACCTATGACATGTGTGAGGACTGTTACTCTACAACCTATGACATGTGTGAGGACTGCTACTCTACAACCGATGACATGTGTGAGGACTGCTACTCTACAACCGATGACATGTGTGAGGACTGTTACTCTACAACCTATGACATGTGTGAGGACTGCTACTCTACAACCTATGACATGTTTGTTCTTGGATTTAGACACACTTCAATTGAAATAACTGTTTTGGATGTCTAGCAGCAGCAGCAGGAAATCTCAAAACGTAAAACCTAATTAAAGTTTCTGGTCAGATAATAAAAAAAAAAATCAATGTGCACAAAACAAACTGTTAGTGGATGGTCATGCCAGCAGTCTCTCTGTAGTGGATGGTCATGCCAGCAGTCTCTCTGTAGTGGATGGTCATGCCAGCAGTCTCTCTGTAGTGGATGGTCATGCCAGCAGTCTCTCTGTAGTGGATGGTCATGCCAGCAGTCTCTCTGTAGTGGATGGTCATGCCAGCAGTCTCTCTGTAGTGGATGGTCATGCCAGCAGTCTCTCTGTAGTGGATGGTCATGCCAGCAGTCTCTCTGTAGTGGATGGTCATGCCAGCAGTCTCTCTTGGGCACATAGTCACACCAGTAGTCTCTCTGCAGCACATAGTCCCACCAGCAGTCTCTGCAGCACATAGTCCACCAGCAGTCTCTCTGCAGCACATAGTCACACCAGTAGTCTCTCTGCAGCAGAAGGTCCCACCAGTAGTCTCTCTGCAGCACATAGTCCCACCAGTAGTCTCTCTGCAGCACATAGTCACACCAGTAGTCTCTCTGCAGCACATAGTCCCACCAGCAGTCTCTGCAGCACATAGTCCCACCAGCAGTCTCTGCAGCACATAGTCCCACCAGAAGTTTCTGCAGCACATAGTCCACCAGCAGTCTCTCTGCAGCACATAGTCCACCAGCAGTCTCTCTGCAGCACATAGTCCCACCAGTAGTCTCTGCAGCACATAGTCCCACCAGCAGTTTCTGCAGCACATAGTCCCACCAGCAGTCTCTCTGCAGCACATAGTCCACCAGCAGTCTCTCTGCAGCACACAGTCCCACCAGCAGTCTCTGCAGCACACAGTCCACCAGCATTCTCTCTGCAGCACATAGTCACACCAGCAGTCTCTCTGCAGCACATAGTCACACCAGCAGTCCCTGCAGCACATAGTCCACCAGCAGTCTATCTGCAGCACATAGTCCCACCAGCAATCTCTGCAGCACATAGTCCACCAGCAGTCTCTCTGCAGCACATAGTCACACCAGCAGTCTCTCTGCAGCACATAGTCCACCAGCAGTCTCTCTGCAGCACATAGTCCACCAGCAGTTTCTGCAGCACATAGTCCACCAGCAGTCTCTCTGCAGCACATAGTCCACCAGCAGTCTCTCTGCAGCACATAGTCCACCAGCAGTCTCTCTGCAGCACATAGTCCACCAGAAGTCTCTCTGCAGCACATAGTCCACCAGAAGTCTCTCTGCAGCACATAGTCACACCAGCAGTCTCTCTGCAGCAGATGGTCCCACCAGCAGTCTCTCTGCAGCACATAGTCCACCAGCAGTCTCTCTGCAGCACATAGTCCACCAGCAGTCTCTCTGCAGCACACAGTCCCACCAGCAGTCTCTGCAGCACACAGTCCACCAGCATTCTCTCTGCAGCACATAGTCACACCAGCAGTCTCTCTGCAGCACATAGTCACACCAGCAGTCCCTGCAGCACATAGTCCACCAGCAGTCTATCTGCAGCACATAGTCCCACCAGCAATCTCTGCAGCACATAGTCCACCAGCAGTCTCTCTGCAGCACATAGTCACACCAGCAGTCTCTCTGCAGCACATAGTCCACCAGCAGTCTCTCTGCAGCACATAGTCCACCAGCAGTTTCTGCAGCACATAGTCCACCAGCAGTCTCTCTGCAGCACATAGTCCACCAGCAGTCTCTCTGCAGCACATAGTCCACCAGCAGTCTCTCTGCAGCACATAGTCCACCAGCAGTCTCTCTGCAGCACATAGTCCACCAGAAGTCTCTCTGCAGCACATAGTCCACCAGAAGTCTCTCTGCAGCACATAGTCACACCAGCAGTCTCTCTGCAGCAGATGGTCCCACCAGCAGTCTCTCTGCAGCACATAGTCCACCAGCAGTCTCTCTGCAGCACATAGTCCACCAGCAGTCTCTCTGCAGCACATAGTCCACCAGCAGTTTCTGCAGCACATAGTCCACCAGCAGTCTCTCTGCAGCACATAGTCCACCAGCAGTCTCTCTGCAGCACATAGTCACACCAGCAGTCTCTGCAGCACATAGTCCCACCAGCAGTTTCTGCAGCACATAGTCCACCAGCAGTCTCTCTGCAGCACATAGTCCACCAGCAGTCTCTCGATAGCGTTCAGACATGCCCCCTGCTTGTCATCACTACATTGCTTGGATTAGCA